AGTGTACAGAAGTGAGCAGCAGGATGCTTATATATCAATAACTATTATTTTAAAATGTATTGAAATTTTCCTTAAAATAATACCTATACTTGATTGAAAAAGTTAATTGGAAATTAATGGCTTATGACAAGCATACCAGCCCACACTCTTCCCAAACTCACTTTGCTGTTGTTCATAGAGGCTGTCATCTTTAAATCTTTCAGCTGATTTCTCTGGCCTGTGCCTTTTTATTTCTGAATGATATGCTTAGAATACTATTTTTTTGACTTACCAATTTTAGAAATTTTCTACTCACCTCCTATCACAGTAGATTTCCTCTCCTTCATTCCTCCGCCAATATAATTATATTTCATCATATTAATAATTCATTTATATATTTTTAAATATAATAATATGATAATATTGTATTTATATTATTATAACTACGCAAATATTATATGCATACTACTAACCCAGCCATGTTATTATGACCACCCACTACCTTTATTTTTTTCCTCGTGTTAGTGATTGTCTTTGTGTTCTTTTCTTGGTTTTTAGTGTTCCTTTTACTAATTTTCTTTTTTCCTATTTCAGTCTCTCATTGTTTGTTTACTCATTGGAGTGTTGCTTGACTTTTATCCCCTCCCACCTAGTGACATTTTAATTTTAGTTATCAAATTTTTAATTTCTAAGAATGCTTCTTGTTCTCTTCTTGTTTCTTCTTCCCCACCAGCTAAAAATCTATGATGTTATAACAAGGATCATAAATTGTATCCCAGTAGATTAAGAAATCTTGGTTAAAACCTGTTGTATCCCAGTAAGTTGAAAGATGTTAACGTGTCGTATTTTCTTTCAAAAGCAGTTGGTTGAGGAAGAGAATGGAACAAATGCTCTTTTTAAAACACAGCAATTTTGTGATGAACTCAAATTGCAGTTTTAACTTTGCCATTATAATGAATGTATTTGATCCAAAATTTTTTAAATCTAGGCTGTTGTCTTTTAAATAACAAATTACCTTACTGGTATCATGAAGAGTAAATGTTAGTACTGATTTGGAAAGACATTCTCATTTAGGAGATGAAATAGAAAGTAAATGAGGAGAAAGAAAAGCTTTTATTATTTATTTTCTTTTAAATATTTTAGTATCATGGTGCAGGCACCAGAAAAATCTTACAGTTCCTCAGAACCTGTTATTTCGGCACAAGAGCAGGAGACTCAGGTAAGGCTTTTGTAAAAAGGTAATTAGTTTATGATAGGGTAGTTATGATTCTATGCATGCTTAAAATTCTGTATTTTGCCAGTATTTTAAAAATTGTTCTTAAGCTAAGAATCTGAGTTTATATTTCAGTTTATATTCATTCTAAGGAAAAATGTGGGATCTGAAGCTCTAAAAATAAAGGACTGGATCTTTTAAGTACATTTTTAAAAGTATTGAGTTGTTTCTTTGTTTTTTGTTCAGACTGTGTTATATGGCAAATTGGTAGAAGCTAGGCAGAAACATGCCAATAAAATGGATGTTCCCCCAGCTATTCTGGCAACAAACAAGATACTGGTGGATATGGCCAAAATGAGGTAAACTATCTTTTGCATGTGTTCTCATTTATTTCCTTCTAACAAAATTTATCCAAGTTGATAATATGACCATAGCTTCCACTGTCACATCTGGGAGGTGACTCAAATTCCCCCTGCTGCGATGCTTATCTCTTTGCCAAGCTTTAGTACCACATTTCTATATGAATAAAAACCAGTTACGTTTTCAGCAATCATATTCAATATATATAAAATCTAACTCATTATCTACCCACCCTGCATTTTATTCAAATGCCAAAATTCCTCTTTTTGGATTCTTTTTGATTATCATACCGTCACATTCCTAGTCAGAGGTTCCTAATGCTTAAAACCTCTGATCTGAATTTTCTCTCCTCCAACATAAAACCTTTTCCTCCTCCTCCTCCTCCTCCTCCTCTTCTTCTTCTTCTACTTTCTTTCTTCTTTCTTCTTCTTCCTTCCTCCTCCTTCCTTCCTCCTTTTCCCTTCTCCCTTCTCTCTTCTCCCTCCTTCTCCTCCCTCCTTCTCCCTCCTTCTCCTCCCTCCTTCTCCTTCCTTCTTCTCCCTCCTTCTTCTCCTCCTTCTCCTCCTCCTCCTTCTTCTCCTCCTCCTCCTTCTTCTTCTCCTCCTCCTCCTTCTTCTTCTCCTCCTCCTCCCTCTCCTCCTCCTCCTCCTTCTTCTTCTCCTCCTCCTTCTTCTTCTCCTCCTCCTTCTTCTTCTCCTCCTCCTCCTTCTCCTCCTCCCTCTCCTCCTTCTCCTTCTTCTTCTCCTCCTCCTCCTCCTCCTTCTCCTCCTCCTTCTTCTTCTCCTCCTCCTCCTCCTTCTCCTCCTCCTTCTTCTTCTCCTCCTCCTCCTCCTTCTTCTCCTTCTTCTTCTTTTTTCTCTTCCTTCTCTTTCTCCTTCTCCTTCTTCCTTTTTTTCTGAAGACAGGTCTCACTCTGTTGCCCAGGCTGGAGTATAGTGGTGCAATCACTGCTCACTGCAGCCTTGACCTCCTGGGCTCAAGCTATCCTCCCACCTCAGCCTCCCGAGTAGCTGTGACTACAGAACATGCCACCCTGCTCAGCTAATATCTGTATATTTTGTACAGACAGGGTTTTGTCATATTGCCCAGGCTAGTCTCCAACTCCTAAGCTCAGGCAGTCTTCTTGCCTCAGTCTCCAAAGTGCTGGCACTACAGGTGTAAGCCACTGTGCCTGACCTCTTTTTCTTGTTTAAATACTTTTCATACCTTTTGTAAAACGGGTTCCTTGTTGCCTGTCTATGCCTTCCTCCTCCTCCTTAATGACACCTCATTAGTTCTGACTGTTTTCCCTTGGCGTGTTGCAGAAGCCTCTTAACTATTAACCCTTCATTCTCTCTCTCTGTTTCATCCAGTATATGAGTACCAAACTAAATCTTCCTTTATCATGTCTTACTTCTGCTTAAATGGTTTCTTTCTAGCTTGGAATTCAAGGCCCTCCATTTATGAACTTGCTTTTCCATCTAAGTTACAGAATTTGAAACAATACCTGGGTTGTTTACCACTTGTTGAAGACCCGTTTTCAACTTCCATATATTTATTTTCAGTGTTGCTTCTCCTTGTAGTTTCCTTGATTCCTCAAAACTCCTTTTAAGAAATTCTTTAAGATCTTGTTCTATTACTGTAAAGACTATGAGAAGGTATTTCATGATCTTATTGGTGAAGTAATTCCTCTCTCTTGAATTCATAGAGGACTTTCAGATGAATTCTAAAGATGCTTCTCTGGCACTTACCACACAATGCTATATTTTAGTTTTTTGTAATTAGTGGTAAACGTGTATTATTATATCTTCTAGATTTTAAACTCCGAATAAAGGTATTAGCTCCTCATCTTTTTGTGTGTCTCCCATAAGCACCTAGCACAATGCCTTGTAAACACGGGGTGATCATTAAACATTTAGAAGAAGTTATTTGCCAAGAATAGTTGCTTGGTAATTGTATTCGTCTTTTGCTTCCTTTTAAAAAATTGTTTCTGTCATGTATACATATGTAACAAACCTGCACATTGTGCATGTGTACCCTAGAACTTAAAGTATAATTTAAAAAAAAATTGTTTCTGTCACTAAATTGCATCCAATAGATATTACTTGAGTGCAGAATTTTCTAATGACATTACACAGTGCTATATCTGACACTAATTCTGTTGTTAATAAGTATTCTAAGACCATACTTTACTATTCAGGATATATATATATATATATATGTATATGTATTTGGGACTGAGTCTTACTCTATCACCTAGGCTGGAGGGCAGTGGCACAATCTCGGCTCACTGCAACCTCTGCCTCCTGGGTTCAAGCAATTCTGCCTCAGCCTCCAGAATAGCTGGGACCACAGGCGTGCACCGCCACCCCCGGCTAATTTTTTGTATCTTAGTAGAGATGAGGTTTCACTGTGTTGTCTAGGCTGGTCTTGAACTCCTGAGCTCAGGCAATCCACCTGTCCCGGCCTCCCAAAGTGTTGGGATTACAGGCATGAGCCATCGCACCTGGCCCAGAGGAGATATTTAATGAAAAGGAGTAATCATTAGATCGGCAGATTTTTAAAAGGAAGGAGGGCATCGAATGTGTTCTTGGATATTGGACACAATAAGAAATATTGAGTTAAAAGTCTGAAGGAATTGGCAGATACACTGTTATTGGTAAACACTTTGTAGAAGAAAATAATGAATGAGACTTTCTTTTGAGATTTTCTTAGCCTCTTAGTTGTTCCCAGTTAGAGCCTCATACTTTTCCTTTTCATGACTATAAAGATAATAATAAAATCAGTAATAAAATGAATATTTGATATGTTAACCTGTTCCTTTATGATAATGTCCTGTTTACCAGTTAACAGTGTGTTTTTGTGGTGATGGGGACAATAGTGTTTTTATTCGTAAGTTGGTAAAAGCACAAGTCTTTAAATGGTGGTAAGCAAAGAAAGAGATTATAAAACATGATTAGTTGTATTATACATTGTTTTCGTTGTTGGAAAAACTGTACATTTAGAGAATCATTATGAAGCTGAACATCAGCTATATTGCTGGAGTGATACTGTTTCAGTGGTTTCTTGACCTTTTTGTTGTTGTTAAACACAGACCAACTACGGTTGAAAACATAAAAAGGATTGATGGTGTTTCTGAAGGCAAAGCTGCCATGTTGGCCCCTCTGTTGGAAGTCATCAAACATTTCTGCCAAACAAATAGTGTTCAGGTAAAATACTGTGGTTTGCAGGAGCTCTTAGAGAATAAGCATTTTTTGTAACCATTTCAAAAGTACCCTTCAGAAGCAACATTTTCTCACTTTCTTTGCATTTCCATACTGGACACTTAGAAAATGAATTTAGATTGTTTTTACAGTCAATCTGTCGTAAAAACATGTCAGTTATCTACTTTTAAAGATGATACTAAAAAGTAGTTGTCCAGGCTGCTGATGTCTTTCTATTTCATTGGGAGGTTTTGTTTTTAAATTGGAAACATTATTTTAGGTTGATAAATTATAATTTTACATTCAAATATGGTAGTTGGAAATTAAAGCTGGAAAGTTATCCTTGCTATGAGTTGGTCAGGAGCTCAGCCACTTGCTTTTGGTTTAGCATATTCTCTAATCTCCCTCCCCTTCCAGTAATGCTGTCTTTTGATAGTACATGGATTTCATATTATTCTCTTCAGTTTTAATAGTGTTTCCTTCATATCCTTTTATTATTGCCTGTTCTGCCATAAGTGACCATTTCCAGAAAGATCATTTGGGATTTTCTCTAAACTCCACGTAGCAGACTCTATGGTGTATACTCTGCAGAAGGTGAGGCAGTGGGGAATAGAGGGCAGACTACTGGACTTGGAGTCTCAGAATCAGGACTTTAATTCTTCCTTACAGTTGTTCACCTGGTGAACCTGAACATGTCCTTTGATTTCCTTGGGTCTTCATTTCCTCAGCTACACAATGGAAATGACACTTCCTCCCCCACATCCGGGAAACAACAGATGACATTAGAAAAATAGAAGACATGGGATAAGTATAAAACATTGAAAGAGTTAAATACATTCAAGACAATATTAAGGGATTATTTTTTACTTCCAAGAAGCTCCTGGAAGCTTTGGGCAGGCACAGTTGGATCCTACTTTAGAAAAATCTTTCTCTAACTATAAGTAGAAAACCCTTCTGCTTTTTGAATGTAGCATTTCCCTCTTTTGATATAGAATATCTTTGGCAACTTTAAATTTTCTTTTTCATACTGTTATATAAGACATCATGTGAAAATTCTTATTTCTTACTGAGTTTTTGGAAATAAAATGATAATGTCTTAATGGTTTGGGAAGAATATCATACCTACCAGTGGTGATTGAGTAAGTTCCCTCTCTTTGGACACTTGACAGTCGTATCTTCTTTCATGATTAGTGATATTATTGAATAATGAATGAATGATTTCTCCTAACTCCCCTTCAGGAGAGGAAACTGAAGTAGGGGAAAAGGTAAATTCCTCAAGGGATGGGTATAAAACCTTTATGAACCTTCTGGATAGAGAAGATGACTGCTAATTTCTGTGATTAGAAATTATACTTGGGTTATTCTGCAAATTGAAATCATTTATTTTTTAAAATGTCAATTTTAATGTTTATTAAGCAAGTTTTGTTATTCATGAATTTCATTAGCCTTTAATATATTTTTTAAATTTTGAAGTAAAATTTCTTGCTGTCACAATACACATTAAAAATTACAAATATGACACATATATTAAGCGCATTAAGATGTCCATTTAGGAAAAATATGCTAAAATATTTTTATATAAATACATGTTTTTGAGAATTTTGAGAATTTATGGAACAAAGTAATGATACAATCCACAAATGTACAATTAAAGGGTTTAGGGATATCCAAAATACTTGGCAAAGTAATCTGAAATAATACTCTTAGGAAGGAAGGGCTACAATGTGATTCTAGTAAACAAAAATCTAATCAAATCATACTCTAGTCCCAGCTACTCGGGAAGGTGAAGCAGGAGAATGGCATGAAGCCGGGAGGCGGAGATTACAGTGAGCTGAGATTGCGCCACTGCACTCCAGCCTGGGTGACAGAGTGAGATTCTGTGTCAAAAAAAATAAAAAAGACTGTATGAACATATATGGCATAAATATGTACAAATGTTATTTATTTTAAAAAAATCCAGGGGTAAGGGCAGAGTAGTTAGAAAATACCTGAGGGTGTTCATGAAATAAGATTGGCTATGAATGACAGTTGCTGAAACTGGGTGATGCCCATCTTACTCTCTCGACTTGTGTTATATGTTTGATATATCCCACAATAAACCTTAAAAAAAAAAGATGAGTGGTCAGTTATAGGAAGATATAAATAGAAAAGACAATAAGGACAAAAGTTGGCAAAGCTTACCTAAGCACTCTTTAGATAAAAAGACATTTTCGCTAACTAGATTTGAATATTATAGTTTAATTGGCAAGGAGAATGCGTCAACTTAATCTTTGTTAAGAGACTACTTAAGGCACTATCAGAAGTTCCCTTATGGCGAGGTGCAATCCCTTGTGCCTGTAATTCCAGCACTTTGGCAGGCCAAGGCAGGCAGGCTGCCTGAGGCCAGGAGTTAGAAAACAACCTGGGCAACATGGCGAGACCCCACCTCTACAAAAACAATTTTTTAAAATTAGCCAGGCATGGTGGTGGTATCCTGTAATCCCAGCTACTTAGGATGCTTAGGCAGGAGGATTGCTTGAGCCGGGGGATTTGAGGCTGCAGTGAGCCATCATTGTGCCACAATACTCCAACTTGAGTGATAGGAAAAAAAAAAAAAGTGTCTTTGTTATAGTCTCAAACTTTCAGGTGAGCTGGCTTCCTATATAACTCTTCTATAGGACAGAACATACTGGTTGGGGCAAGTGAAACTGTCCAGTTGTATGCCTCATAAGTTAATGAATTTGTTTTCTAGTGTATACACTGATATTTATACACACATACACATAAAACCAAGTTCAGTAGATGGGTAGTGCAACTCTACTCCCCAAAACCCAACTACCCTGTAATAAGACACATTAGACTTTTGAGATTGCATGGATGAGGACTGAAATGCTGGCCTAGACCATGGCGTTGCCATAGTGGGGTGACCAGTCTGAAGAGCCAACAATGCTTCCTCAGTAAATACATATTTTGTCTTGATAGGATTTCTACAGATTGCAAAATGCAGCTATTCTGAAACTGTAAAAGAGAAACAGAAGCATGTAACACCTGGGAGTGTTTTATTAGACCCACCATATGCTCAGAACATGAAATCTCTGCTGCTAGGGTTATTTGATTGAAACTGTCTTTTGTGTTGATGTGAGAGTTTAGCTCTGAGATTCTTCCCCATGTAAAATGTAATCCCCCAAAAGGTTTGGCAAGCACGTTTTATTGCCTTGGGTCAGATAATTCAAATTCTAACATTAGACATCATCTATATAGCATGTAAAAAGTAAAACAGAAACATTTATGTTTCTCACCAAGCAGTAAATTAATACTCAACTAATAAATTTCTTAAACTCCCTAATAACAGAGTATGGAAACAAAAAATGAACTTCTTTCGAAAAGAAAAGTTCATAGATACGTTTCCTCATATATGTATACATAATATAGTAGACCACATGATAAATAACCTTATAAAAATGATACCAATAGCATTCATCAAGAGACGAGGCACTTCTTTAAATTATTAATTTAGTTTGTTACAGGTTTTATTATGGCTATAGTATGTTGTTTTAATCTACCTTTTATGTGTAGTTAAAAAAAAAAAAAGTTGTCTATCTCTTTACCTTTATTTCAGCCTTTAAAAAGATTCCATTATTTTTTCATTAATCTTGTTTTTCAGTCGTTCCCCATTTTTTCTTTTAAACATTTCTTAAGGAACCATATTTAAGATTTTATAGAATACTTAGATTTCTAGTTGGGGTGTATCATTTAGAATTAGATATGCAGAGAGAGTGTTATGATATATTTCCTTATGATGTATTAGTGGTTATAGTACCTAAAATTGAATAGTGATTCTGTTCGTTTGTTCGTTCGTTCATTCATTCATTCATTCATTCATTCATTCATTCATTCATTCAATATTCACTTCCAGGGATTGGGGACTTACTTAAAGACAGAGTGGTTCCCATTATACTTCCTTTTTTTAGTCCTGCTTATTGGTTAAAGCGAAGACTAGGAAATGTTTGTTATTACAAATATTTTGTTAAAAATTAAATTTGTGTGCTCTAGCATTGTTTTACTTTTTTAAATCAATACGTTAAAAATCCAACTTCTTTTTGAGCTCCCTATAAAAAGGGAATTATTTGTTGCTTATAGGTTTAACTTGTGTTTATTTTTTTCTTAATGGCTAATGATCATATTTATATTCTATTGTTATATTGATATTATTGATCATTTGTGCTACATTTAAAATTCTGTAGACAGACCTCTTTTCAAGTACAGAACCTCAAGAAGAACAGAAGACGAGTCTGGTAGCAAAAAATAAAATATGCACACTTTCACAGTCTATGGCCATCACATACTCTTTATTCCAAGAAAAGAAGATGCCTTTGGTAAGTGTGACTTTCAAGTTACAGGGAATTTTTTTAGTTTATTTAAACTTGTGTTTTATCAGCTGTTTAGTATTAAAGCTCTGACTTGGGATAATTTCCTCCAACTCTACAATAAATCTCAGTTTAATTTTAAAAGAGAACGTTTTCTTTTTCTGTTAAGCCTCCCTGTTAAGTAATAGCAGCAAGTTTAGTTTGGCCATGAATATCTTCTAGAGGTTGTATCAGGGTACTGATAAACACATTTATAGCTCAGGGATACTGCCTTAGCCATATTTTAAAATGGGACTAATAGTTTAAAAACTATAAATATTCACAGTGTTAAGAAACAACCTCAAGATGCATTAAGAAAAAGGAAGGTGCAAAACAGTGAGAAAAACAAACGTAAATGTATGTGTGTGCATATGCATGCTTATATAGTCACATGTTCTTGTATGTGTACAAAAAATACATACTGGATCTCTGGAAGCATAGCCAAACAACTGGAAATATGTTTTTAAAAACTTGCTTTTCATTCTATCTCTTCTAGTACTGTTTTGATGCTCTTTGAAAACAATCTAATTGCTGTAACAAATGACCATATGTAGGCCGGGTGTGGTGGCTCATGCCTGTAATCCCAGCACTTTGGGAGGCTGAGGCAAGCAGATCGTTTGAGGTCAGGGAATTGAGACCAGCTGGACAACATAGGGAGACCCTGTCTCTACTAAAAATACAAAAATTAGCCAGGCATAGTGACACGTGCCTGTAATCCCAGATACTTAGGAGGCTGAGACACAGGAATCGCATGAATCCAGGAGGCAGAGGTTGCAAGGTTGCAGTGAGCTGAGATTGCGCTACTGCATTCCATCCTGGGCGACCAAACAAGCCTTGGTCTCCAAAAAAAAAAAAAAAAAGCTTA